TATATATATATATATATATACGTATGTATATATATATATATGTATATATATATATTTATATATTTATATAGATATATATATATGTGTGTGTGTGTGTGTGTGTGTGTGTATGTATGTGTATGTTTGTCTACATATACACATAAGTGTGTTTTTGTATGTATAAATGGGTGCAAAATATGCACCTGATGCTCGGTATTTGTTCACTCTGATTGATATTGGTTGCTTTTGATGCATTTCCATATGGTAGCACATGGTTTTGTGCCTAACGTTGTCACCTGTTGGCCTTTGGCCTTTGATCGCGGCCGGGTAACTTTGCAAGCATATTCAGTCGGCTTTTTTACTGAGTATGTAGAAATTATGTGTCAGATGCTCAGTATTCGTTCTGTACAATTCATTTCTAGGGCCAAAAGAGGCTTCGAGGTTCCCTCTACTCGTTGTACGCGAAAAAGTTGAAGATTTCAACCCCGACCTCACGTGTTACGCCGAGGATGACGTGCCCATGAGCCAACTCAAACAGGAGCGGGATCTTCGATTATTCCGTTCAGTCCTCGGTCTAATTGCGGTACTGGCCACCTGCGCGTTAGTATGCTTCTCTATCGGTATAACCACCAACTCTATGGTCATCATCGCGCCTCCTCCCCAGTACCCAACAACTGACAACGCATACGGGCTATACCAGTTTTGCTACACCACCGAGGAGAATTTGGAGTCAGTGAAGAAGTGTGGTGTGCTTGGGGTGAACTGTGAACTCGACTGCTCACTATTTGACGATGTTGAGACTTGTAATGCATATGATATCGTGCAGAACTGTGACTCATTTTTCGCTTTGCGAATAATTAGCTCCTTTACATTTCTCTTGGTCCTCGTTCCCCCTATCGTTATGATTGTCCTGACCGCGATGGGATATAATCCGAAGCGTACTGCAGTCAGTGCCACAATCGCATACACGTTGAGTTTGGTCCTGTGTGTTCTCTTCATCACGATACTGTACCTCACTGAATTGAATGGCCATAAGGATGCGTATGATCGAATGAACAAAATGGCGCAAGCTCAATCTGTTGGTAATTCCCTAGCAGTGAATACCGTACAAAGAACGAATGGGTTTCCTAAGTTGGGGTACTCCTTTTGGGCCTTGTTTGGGTGCATTGCACTACAACTTGTCTTGATAGCGGTTGTCGTCGTGGCCTATTCGAAAAACTGGATCATGTTTGCCTATGACCGAAAACGGCCGTCGATTGCGACCCTTGAAGATGTTGTTCTGGAGAGTGGTTGATGAAGCATGAGAACACAAGCATACAGTGTTGCAACAATCTATTACGGGAGCTGATACGGTGCTATCATTCGCATTTTATCAGCCTTGCAATCCGGTTATTATATCGTTGTTTCTCGCCTGGCTTATGGCCCAAGCCTGTAATGTGTTGATCCCGAAGGAGCTTGTCGACCTGGTTACCTTTGCATTCTACTTGAATTGAAATTTGTCAGGCTTAAAAACGGACTGCATAGTCTACCATAATAGCTTTCCTATCATTGTGGGCCTAAGATTCGCAAATGTAACTCTTAAAGACAACGCGCTCTCTGCCTCGTACTAAATTTTTATCACCACTGTTCATATTTTTACTGCGAGAAGGGATTAACACCCGGAAATGGCAAATATTCGAAAGCAATTTAAATACCTGGTTTGCTTCGATGTCATTGTATTTCATTTTTCCCGGTCATGCAAACGAGTGGTGTAGTGTGGCCAGCTTGATCAAGGAATTTTTCTATAGGAATAAACATAGCCACGAAAAGTATCCTATAAGTACGAAATTGCCAGCTCCTGCAGTTGGTGGCTGGCTGTATGTATCATAAATCCGCGGAGAACTCAGCTCGTCAAACTCTTTTACATCTCCATTTTGATAACTAATCAATCCTCTTTTTGCACTAAAGGTCGATCACCAGTTTGGCGGAAGTTATCATACGTTGTTGTAGTGATAGAAGACATGTAGCTCTGCAAGTTAGAAAAGTATCAGAATTTTCCTTCTTCTCAAAGTGCATATCACCTCGTCATGATGGTGATTTCCAACACATATTTGTCCTGTATCTGCAAGTAGATTGGTGTACAAGATTTTAGCGGGATCTTGATGTTCATCTTAAAATCAAAAATATTATTTAATGGCCCCTCTTCTCACAAATTTGAAAAAATGCTTATCTTATACAACAATGGGTTGCTTAAGTAGCTCCGACATGAATACATCTCGATTCTGTCGTATCTGAACTGCATTTCATATTAATCCGTGAAGGCAGGATTGGTGTCCTTTATAGCTGAGAAATGGCTGACAGAAGTCCACCTAGCGTGCATGGATGCACAACGAACCTCGTCCGACAACAAGTAACAAAGCTTACAGCTAGCAGCGACGCACTCCACCAACTAAAAGAAGAGCGTAAATCACCCTTGGGTAAGACTCGGTCTATCTGCCCATTGATTACATGTACTGAAAAGCTGCGTTACATTATATAGATATATATATATATATATATATATATATATATATATATATATATATATATATATATATATATATATATATATATAGTGTGTGTTGTGTTAGTG